ACAGGCATTCCTTATACTTTTCAACCTTCTAAACTTGCTCATTATTTTTTATTTTTTTTCCTCCACACAATCCTTTTTACTCTCAATTTCCAGGTGCTACTGCCTTTATCTTGACTCTGTGTGCCCTTACTGACTCCAAGCGTTTCACTGTAATGTTCAAAGTGATGATGTGTTCGCTAAACATCTTGGCTTGGTGTAATCCTGAACTTCCAATGACCCTTCAGATGGAGCTTAAAAAGATTTCATTCCAAAACACAACCTACCAAGGTCTTTGTAGTACTCCCCGCACCCCTAAGCCATCTCTAATAATTATTTCACTGATGACATTGTTCATTGCAACACACAACATGCTCAGGCGTCCAAAAATAGGAGGTGGTAACAGCGAGACAGCAAAGTTGGAGAATCAGAGGTCATTAGTTCCCATGTACAGCTTCTATATTACCCTCATACACACGGCTGCACATTCACAAAAACACATAAAATCCTAATTTCATAATTAACATTTTTAATCTGATTGACTCACTTATTGAGCCACAAAGATGAGCAATTATTATGATTCATTAATACCAACAACTAGTCATAACACATCTAATTATTGCACAGGTGTAACACAGGATTACTCAAAACAACTCACAGGTCAAGACAGAAGGTATTAAGGGTCACTGAGCTTTCACAGTTTACATTAGAGAGATGAGATTTTCAAGTGCTGCCACTAATAATAGAATATCTTTGCTTCTACACAGTGTGTCCAGCAATCCAGTCCAAACATTAACCCACTCATCACAACAAGATTGGTAATCTGCAGTGTTGGGAAGGAAGGGTTGACTGGAGAAGTGTACTGTAAATTAGGCCATTTTATAATTTTAACAAAGAATATTCTAAGGTTGATGCTTTTTTTTTTGTTATTACATTGATAATGCATTAAAGTGTACTTACCATGGCACACAACAATTTATTTATATTAATATTAAATAGAATTGCTAGCAAATGTATAGATTGGGAGGAAATCATATTAAAAAATAGATCCCTTCCATATCTGTCAATCAAATCTTTGGCCCGGAGTCAGCATAAACTGATAGACAGGGGAGAACCTTGCTACAAATTGTCCTTCTCTCTATTGTAGCAACTAGATCCAGGACAGTGCTGCATAGATACCAAAATCCCTGCATATTGCTTGACATTTTGTCCCATATATTTGGATTCGTATGTATTTGATAGCGATATATCTGCATTAATTTGTTTGTGAAGTAAGAATGTAATATAAAACTTAAAAAAAAAAAACAATATAAGCATGCCAGATATTAACATCATTAAATTATAGCTAATGTCAAGTGTTTCAAGGGAATTATAGCTCAATATCAGTTATCTGCAGTAGAAACCTGGCAGCTCAATTACAACTCCCAGAAACAACTTCTGTACTTCTTCTCAGGATAGTAAAAGTACATGTATGGGAATGGAGCATCACTAAAAGAGTAATGATCTACAGCAATCTTCTTTGCTTTGCCCCCAAACCACTTTCCTTTTCTTAAAGTAGTAACAAACTGAATTCCTTTAACCCCTTAAGGACACATGACATGTGTGATATGTCATGATTCCCTTTTATTCCAGAAGTTTGGTCCTTAAAGGGTTTAGCTATAATAAACACTTTTATAATCAGGAGAATACTGTTGAAACCTCTTACACATTTGTGGCAAAATATGTCATCTAGCATACGGTAGCGTTTCCTAGAATTCCAGTATTTATGTGCAATAACTGGTGTTTTAAGGCATATCCAGAAAGCACAATGTAGACAGAAATATCTCCCACAGAGATACCCCATCAAGATGCCTGGTGGACTAGAATAATAAAATTTTACTATTTATTGTTAATAATTAATAGTATGCAGTAATTTACTATGAGGTCACCAGATTTCTTGCATGATGGTTTATCTGGGGAACTGCCTGGAAAGGCTTATCCATAGTGCTCCATTGTTTTCTGTAACAAATATTATTTTGCATGTACTTAGGAGAGACTCTCGAAAATGCAAGGGGGTTAACTAAACACCTAAGCACCTGTCCTTTATAAATTCTACTAACTGAGGGATTACATTATTTCTCAATCCCATAAAGACTCAGAATGGTTTAAATATTTATGCACATCATAATGAATATGAGCAGTGTGAAAATGAGGTATGAGTTAAGCTTGCCTAATTAGTGGATTTCAGACGTGTTTCGTTTTTTTAATTTATGTGGCCCATTAACGCCAATAGGCATGAAAACACCAATGAGAGAGAGAGAGAGAGAGAGACAGGAAACATTCGCTTTCCCTTTGCTTTGCTTCTGTTGTCAGATTAAGTATGTTTAGAACATGTTTCTTTTATGGTTTAGTTGCAACATCTCTGTAAAAGCTCTGTAAAAATTGTAAAGGAAATATAAAGGAAATATAAAATCTATTTAAGGTACACCCAGATAAAAATATGAACTTTACTAGTAAATGAATGATGGCTAATCTAGTTGCCCCAAATATTTGTGCACTACATTCCTTGTGATGCTCAGTCAAAGTTTAAAGTTGTAGTTAAGTAGAAATGTATTGCAAGGTGGCATGGTAGGGGGCTGTGGCAGGGTGTGACAGTGTAGAGGGGGGCTGTGGCAGGGTAGAGGTGATGTGGCAGGGAAGCGGCCTGTGGCAGGGAAGAGGCCTGTGGCAGGGTAGGGGGGCTGTGACAAGATAAGTGACAGGGGAGGACAGGTAGTGACAGGGTAGAAGGGGGCTGTGGCAGGTAGGGGGGCTTTGGCAGGGAAGGGGTGGCTGTGGGAGGGGAGGTTGGGAAGTGACAGGGTAGAGGGGCTGTGACAGGGTAGGGGGGCTATGGCAGGGTAAGGAGGTAGTGACAGGGTAAGGGGGGCTGTGGCAGGGTAAGGGGGGCTGTAGCAGGGGAGGGGGCACAGTGACAGAGTAGAGGGGGACTGCGACAGAGTGTAGGGAGACAGAGTGGGGAGGGTCATAAAAAACTTCTTTTCTTTTTTTCATTAACGATCCCCTGGTGGTCTAGTGTCTCACTCCCTGGTGGTCTGGTGGGCTGGCTCTCTCCATGGTGGTTCGGTGGACTCCCTTTCTGGTCTGCAGCTCTGCTGGGTGCAGAGCTGCAGACCACATGGTAAGTCTTGCGAGATCTGGCCAGTCAGAGCGTTGCCGTGGTAACTCACGGCCACGCTCTGATTGGCTGAGATCACGAGACACCTCAGTCTGCTGCTCACTCCCAGCGGAGCTGCAGACTGGGGGCTGGCTCTCCATCAGTTCAGACAGTAAGGAGGGGCCTCGCACCCAGTGGCACACAGGGCAAACCGCCAGGGCCCTCTACTGTGTCGGGCCCTTGGTCATAGACTGAACACATGTGAGTCTACCCTAAGGTGACTTAGGCAGCTGCGAGGCCCCAGCCAGCGTGAGGCCTAAGGCGGCCGCCTAAATTGCCAAATTAGAGAGACACCTCTGACATTAAATACGTTAGACCACTTTTTAGAACATGAAACTTTTTATACATAAACTCCATTGTTTACAGCTAGTCTATAGAAAGTTGAAAATCTGCTTTGAATGTGAGTAATAAAGGTGCTTTAATTTTCCAATGAGTACACTTTAAAACACGTGTACATATGCAGCCACAGTGATTTGGTTGATATTTTTGTTATTATAACCCCAACCCCTGAAACATGTTTGGCATTACATGTTTACGTTAGTACGTAATTCTGTTATATTTCACTTTGAATTTGAGAATGCTAACGCACACCCAATCAATACAAATTTGAGAAAATTACAGTTTGGTCTGAAGAGATCTCCAAGTTTAGCCTTTGCTCTTGCATCTATGTGAATTCCTTAAATGCACATCATGTATGTCAGAAAAAACTTATTTATTGTTTCATCAATAATAGAATTCCACCCATACCATCTTGCCTCCAAGAGTGGTTTCTCCTTCAGCTACAAAAAGTTATTCTTAAGAATAGAATCTGAATATTACATTATTGTTTAATCTGTGGCTTACCAGATAATTAACATCACTGGTAGTATTTATGTATGTGCATTAAACAGAGAACAATATAATGCTTTAAGTAAAATGAATACTTTATATAGTCAATTTAGCATTGTGATTTGTATAACCACATACTCTGCACAATAGCATGGTGTTTTACTATAAATACAAGAAAAGCCATTATAGCAAACTCAATATCTCTTATATTCACTAGTATGTCCAAAGGGATTGCTTGTCTATCAAGTTAGATAATCACAATGCATTACATTTTGTTAAATTCACTGTGTTCCTTAATGTGCTATATGGTTTTAAAATTGCTTTTCAAATCAACTTTTACAAACAATACAATATATGGTAACATTAATTATTTATGGCATATAGAACTAATTGTTAATAAGTAAAAAAAAAATAATAATGTATATATATATAAATACGCATTTAATGCAATATTATACCCTTGCCAAATTATCCAAAAGCAGAATCATTTTGGCTGAACGAACAGTAGAAAAAGTAAAGTCAACTACACCGATATTGTGATGTGATAGTGGTGTGTTAACCCCTTAACGCTGTTACGGCATTCTATGCCGTCCCCATTATAATAGGCTTTAAAGCCGTTGCGGCGGCATAGAACGCCGTAACGGCTTAAGCCCCCAGGTGCTATGGTCGACATACCTCCGCCGCAATCCTCTTCAGGAGGACTGCCTGACAGCCCAGGCAGCCCTCCCACTGCAAATCAGGCTTCCGGGGGCCATGTGATTGCTCTCAAAGAGAGATCACATGGCCCCTTATATGCCTGCAGGGGAACTGTCTGTGCTGTCAGACAGTCCCCCTGCTGGTGGGAAAGAAAAAAAAAATATTATTACACATGCTAAAATAAATTAAATGTGTATATATATATATATATATATATATATATATATATACATAACATTTTGGATTACAAACTATCTGACCCAGAAGCATCAGTTCTCTCCAAAGGATTATCATTTTGCCCTAGCACAAAACGTGATGACATTGGGCTCTACTCTAACGTGGGAGAATTTTTCAGAAGGATGCGACTTAAGGAATACTTCCATGACAAAGAGAGCACTGAAACCACAATGGATTACAACAACCGGAAAAAACCCACTAATTTCACTCCAGCACCAGGACGAAATGCCAAACTGGACAGTTACATTGAAAGTTTCCGTCTAAGAACAGTATCCTTGACAACCAAGCAAAACCAAAAGAAAATGTTTCATAATCTCTCAGTACAGGAACAAATGGCTATAAATGACCTGAAAAATAATCATGCTATCACCATCAAACCAGCAGACAAGGGAGGAGCAGTAGTGATAATGAACACCCAGGACTACATAAAAGAGGGTGACAGGCAATTGTCAGATGACAAATACTATAGAAAACTAAATGAAGACCCCACCAAGGAATATACATCACAACTTAGGGAGCTCATTAAATCCTTCCCTGAGAACTTACACCTAGAACTGCAATCACTCATACCAACTAGTCCCTGCATGGGCACTTTCTATATGCTTCCCAAAATTCACAAAGCAGGTAATCCTGGAAGACCCATAATTACAGGAATGGTAACTCTCACAGAACAGATCTCAGGACTGGTAGAAAATACCCTAAAACCTCTAGTCACCAACACTAACAGCTTCATAAAAGACACAACCGACTTCCTCAACAAACTCAGCCAAATCACCAATCTCCCTGCTAACACCATCCCTGTAACCATGGATGTGGAATCTCTATACAGCAACATTCCACATACAGATGGCATCAATACTTGCTTCCATTTTCTCTCTCATGTCAACAACCAAAAATACAGCCTCCGAATTATCACAGAACTGGCACTATTTATCCTCACACATAACTACTTCAGTCTCAACAATGAGGTTTACCTACAAACCATGGGCAGTGCTATGGGCACTAAGATGGCACCCCAATATGCTAATCTGTTTATGGCAGATCTTGAACAGAGATTCCTAGAAATCCAACACACCAAACCATACAAATATTATCGCTATATCGATGATATCTTCATAATTTGGACTGAAAGCGAAGAAAAACTGATACAGTTCCATGACTCTTTCCATCCATCAATCAAACTAAAAATGGAATATTCCACTAGATCTGTGAATTTTCTGGACACCACTGTGACATATAATAATGGCACAATCCACACCTCGGTTTACAGAAAACCCACAGACAGGTGCACACATCTACACAGCTCCAGCTTCCACCCCTGTCATACTAAACAGAGCATCATTTACAGCCAAGCCACTCGGTACCATCGCATATGCTCTGATCCTAATGGCCATAATTCCCATCTAAATGTACTCTCCCAATCTATGAGACAGAAAGGCTACAAACCAAAGACTATTACCAAACAAATCAACTCTGCTGTAAAAATATCCACACGAGTGCCACTTGTGGTCACCTACAACCCAGCTCTTGAGGAAATATGGAAAATCATCAAAGATCTACAACCAATATTAACAGAAGATGAGACTCTGAAAAACATTTTCCCTGAAACACCCATTTTGGCCTTCAGACAACCACCAAACCTCCAACAAAAATTAATCAACAGGAGGCTGCCCACTGATGGTAAGAATGAAGAAAACGGGACCAGTCAATGCAAAAAACCTCGCTGCAATCTGTGTCAGCACATATGCACAGACAACACAGCCACACACAACAATAAAACCTACAGCATTAAAGGTTCATACTCCTGCACATCCAGCAATGTGGTATGCATGATTCAATGCATAAAATGCCACCTAGGATGCTACATTGGGGAAACCACCCAGCCATTAAATGGCAGAATGAATATACACAGACACTCTATTAAACACCACAAAGAAGAATCATACTGCACTCCTGTGGGACACCACTTTACCCAGCCTGGCCACTCGCTGAAGGACCTAAAATTCAAAGTACTTAAAGGGGGTTTTAAAAATACCCAGGAAAGAAAAGCCTTTGAAGCCAGAATGATTAAATGGTTTAACAGCAAGAATAGAGGAATAAATATTGATTTGGGATTCCTGTCCCACTACCAACACTTTACATGAACACTCTCCCAGCATTATCTTACTATTCTGTCATATGTACCAACACTTTAAAATGCATTCCTATAGGTTCATTTTATCTATATACAAAGTACTATGTGTAGACCTATGCTTTCCCATACTCGTATGCATGAATGCTTATATATATTACTGTGCATTTATATTTGTGTAGATGAGTGCATGTGTGTATATGTGTTTATGTATATGTACATGTGTTTATGCGTTCACATATACATATTTCTGTGTGTGTGCATGTATAAAGTGTACCATCCTGTGCACTGTCTGCTTGTTTGTTTTTCGTTTCCCTCTCTCCCCCCTACTCTGCTCTTCAACAAGATATTTATGACCCTCTGCTAAGATGGTTTCTATTTTCTAACAAACCTGTGTCTTATCTATACTCATGTCGCTTTAACCCCTGTATCACAACTCAACTTTGAATTCTATGTGTCGTTTTGCTCAGAAATGATTCAGACTTGAGAAAGGGAGGTTCTCCCGAAAGCTTGTCATTAAAAAATTCTGTTAGTCCAATAAAAAAGGTATTACAAGATAAGAATTTTATCTGTTTTTTACATATATATATATATATATATATATATAATACATACAATAATAAACAAATAAAATAATAAAATAAATAAATAAAATATTTTAATAAAATTTAAATAAATTATTTATTCATATGTAATTTCATTCTAACTATATTTTGTTATTAATATATATATATATATATATGTAACAAAATACACTTAGAATGACATTCTATATAGATAGATAGATAGATAGATAAATATATATAATTACATAAATGATTACATAAGTATATACGTAGAATTTAAATACATATATATGTATATATATTAAAATTCTATGTTTATATTTAAGTAATCTTTTAACATAATTATGTGATTTAATTAATTAAAATTTGATTGAAGTGCCTGACAACTCAGGCAGAAAGTGCAGAGAATTTAATTCACAAGCAGTATATTTAACCCTGTAACTTTCCAAGACACCATAAAACCTGCACATGGGGGGTGCTGTTTTACTCAGGAGACTTTGCTGAATACAAATATTAGTGTTTCAAAATGATAAATTGTATTACAACGATGATATTTTCAGTAAAAATGAAGTTGTTTGCATTTTCACACACGAACAGCACTTTTACTGACGATATTATTGTTGTAGTATGTTTTACTGTTTTGAAACACTTATGTTCAAAGTGTTCAGTGACATCTCCCAAGTATAACAGTACCCCCATGTACAGGTTTTATGGTGTTTTGGAAAGTTAGAGAGTCAAATATAAGATTTGCATTTCATTTTTTTCACATTGAAATTTGCCAGTTTGGTAATGTTGCCTTTGAGACCATATGGTAGCCCAGGAATGAGAATTACCCCCATGATTGCATACCATTTGCAAAAGTAGACAACCAAAGGTATTACAAATGGGATATGTACAAATATTAGTTCTTTTTTCACACAAAAACAAATATAAACGCTAACTTTGGCCAGTGTTTGTGACTAAGTGGCTACTAAAAAAGACTGGACATACCCCACTTGCAATACCTGTGGTAGTCTACTTTTACAAATGTTATGCCATCATGGAGGTAATTCTCATTCCTCGGCTACCACATGGTCTCAAAGGTAACATTACTAATCTGTAGGTATAATTTTAATGTGAAAAAAAATGAAAAATGGAATGTGCTATATTTGACCTTGTAACTTTCCAAAACACCGTAAAATCTGTTAATGGGGGGTACTGCTGTACTCGTGAGACTTTGCTGAATACAAATCTGTGCATTTTATTGCAGTAAAAGTGAACAGTATTATGACATTTACAGCTAAAATGTCAGAAGGACCTACAATTTTTTTTAAAACATCTTAATTTCTCACATTTTTTTATTTCTTTTATTCATAATAAGTTATGTTTCATATATGAATAGTGATGTCGCGAACCCGAAATTTTCGGTTCGCGAACGGCGAACGCGAACTTCCGCAAATGTTCGCGAACCCGCGAACCGCCCGAACCGCCATTGACTTCAATGGGGAGGCGAATTTTAAAACATACAGGGACTCTTTCTGGCCACAATAGGGATGGAAAAGTTGTTTCAAGGGGACTAACACCTGGACTGTGGCATGCCGGAGGGGGATCCATGGCAAAACTCCCATGGAAAATTACACAGTTGATACAGAGTCTGGTTTTAATCCATAAAGGGCAGAAATCACCTAACATTCCTAAATCACAATGAATATGGATTGACACCTGACATATGACATATTGACACCTTGACATATGGATTGACACCTGTCCTCAGAGCCCTGATGCACACGGACACAGAGCAGAATAGAGACTGGTCCCCCTACATAGGGTCACTTGGCAGATATGGATTGACACCTGTCCTAAGGATCCCTGATACACACTGACACAGAGCAGAATAGGGACTGTTCCCCCTACATCGGGTCACTTGGCAGATATGGATTGACACCTGTCCTAAGGTTCCCTGATAGACACTGACACAGAGCAGAATAGGGACTGGTCCCCCTACATCGGGTCACTTGGCAGATATGGATTGACACCTTGTTACAAACTGCTATTTGTAACGGGCCCTTTAAATGGCAAATTGCCCTGCTTCCCTGGGTTGTGGAGAAGCCTATTTGCCAGCCTCCTCCCGCATGACTATGGCCCCTGGGAGATTGTGAAAATGTATGCACTTTTATTTGGTGTGTATGGCCCTTTAAGACTGTCGGTGGGCATATTGGGGCTTATGGACTCTTTATGTGACTGGTGCTGGCCCTTTAAACACCTTTTTTGGGACATCAGGAAGATTGGGACACTGCCCCTTTAAGGCCGTGTCCCCAGACTTGTTGGGGACACGGCCCCTTTAAGACGGTGTCCCCTGTGTCCCCAGACCTGGTGCAAACCCTTTGTGCCTGCCTTGCTATTTCCCACTTGGTTCAGTAAATGGGAAATTATTTCAGTTGCAGAGACTAAGTCCCATTCGCGATGGGACTTAGTCGTTTTTTCAGCCTGAAATAGACCGACCTCACAGCCCAAATCTATGGAACTGTTTTGGGCAGGAAAATGTGCTTGCTCGGTCATAAAGGGACCTCCAGCTAACTTTTTAACCCCTGGATGGATTTGGCTGATTTTTGGTTATGTTTATGTTTTAAGTGTGCTGATTCCAAATATGTAATTATGAAGATGGGATGTGTAGTTTTAAAGTTACAGGGTATGGCTAAAAACTGTATTTTTACTGCCTGTGTTTAATTATGTTAATCTCTTCCCAAACGTCATTTCGTTCAAAGTGGAGAGAATGTTAAAAAAATATATTTTTGTTCGGAGTGTGAGAAATGCTTTTCAGCCGCTTCTAATCTTAAGCATCATTTGAGGAGCCATACAGGAGAGAAACCTTATTTGTGGTGTGTTTAGTATTGTTCTGATCAGTTTAATACCTTCCGCGTCTCCTATCAGTGGACGTGTATATGGCAGCCATTTTAGGAACCGCATACCTGGGACCCGAGCAAGGTCACCTCGTTCAACAGGCTTGCAGCCGCATCCTCCAGGAAGAAGAGCCTGAACCCTTACCGGCTGCACGTGTCTTACCTGTACATGGAAAGCTGCTGTGGTTCCTTGATGAGCCAGCTGCCCGTGAGTTAACATGTCCCTTGGAGAAGCACTCTGTCCTGTAAAGCCTCACCAAAAAAAAGGAGTGATGTGTTTAGTATTGTTCTGATCAGTTTAATACCTTCCGTGTCTCCTATCAGTGGACGTGTACACGGCATTGATTTTTATCTAAGCCGTAAACTTTTGCATAGCGAAGTAGATTCACTGCCATTGAAAAGGAGTGCATGGCGTTGGTGTGGGCCCTCAAAAAGCTGCAACCTACTTGTATGGACAACCGTTTACCTTACTCACAGATCACATTAAATTTGGGGCACTGCGCGGTCAAGCTAATGTGACACCAGATAGGAGTGGTGTGTTTAGTACTATTTTTATCAGTTTAATACCTTCCGCTCTCCTATCAGTGGTCGTGTACACGGCAGTAATTTCTGTAACAGGCAGATGGAAGAAGATGCTTGGTTGGTCCTCT